AAAACCGCTGTGAGAGAAACATTAAGGAATTTACCAAAGGGGGAGAAAAAGGAAAAATAAGCTAAAATAACAAGAAAAACAAACAAATAAAACAAACGAAATAAATGAAAAATACAATGAGGGAAAACACATAAAACAAAACGAGAGAAAAATAAATAAACAAAATAAGAGAGCATACAACAGAAGGAACTGAAGTGGAAGGAAGCAGGGGGTGGGTTACCTCCAGGTAGGGCACGGGCGTGTCGGGGTTCAGGGGGTACTCCCGCAGCAGCCGCTCCTCGTCCAGGAACTTGCCGGCCCTGCCGTTGAAGGCCGGCTGGAAGAGCCCGTAGTTGAGCACATCCTTCAGGCTGTGGTTCAGAGTGCACAGGATGCGCTGCTTGGACACCCACACGGGAACGTCGGGGTTCAGCCGGAGACACTTCTGGGGGAGACACGAGGGGGAGTCAGCGAGGGATCCCCCCCACCCAGGGACAGGGAGAAGGATCCTACAGTGTTTTCCGTGCCAGGGGATTGTGGGAAGGGGGAAAACAGAGTCAGAGAAGGATAAAGACTCAGCAGAACCCCCTTAATGCGCTTGGTGGGGTTCAGGAGGAGTCAAACCAAGGAAATGCGAGGAGCGTCCGGGAATTTTTTTATGGCCTAATAAGAAACGGCAGCAAAAAGTTTACTTAAAAATCTCCAAGAGGGTGAAAAGAGGTGTTGATTTCTCCTCCTCCAAACAGAGGGAGGACGGAGCACCATGACCCTGCCAGGACCTGGAGGCACCAGGAAGGTCTCCCAGCGGGAGGAAGAGGGAAGGACCCTCTGCTTCCCACCTCACCCCATGGCCACAGCAGGTTTTTCCCAGCACCATAAGCCTCTTCCCTCCCTCCTCGGGACCCAAAAGTCATCAGACATTTGTTTCCCATCACCCTCAGGCTGTGTTTCCTCCTGCTGCTCTCCCAGCTGGCTGCAGGGCCAGGCTGGTGTCCCTGTCCCCCTCTGTGGTGGCAGATGCTGCTGTTGGGAGCATCTGCTCTTGAGGGTGAAGGGCAAGAGGATGTCGGGCCAGCAACAGTCTCTCCCTGCTGGCAGCCACTGCGTTCCCTCCCAGTCCCTGGGTCTGCATTTTGCCCCTCAACCTTTCCTCGTTCCCGTCACACTTTGTTTTCCTCCTGGTCCTCTTCTCCTCCACACTTGGGAAGACACTTTAGCCTTGGCTGAGGGGCTCATTTCAAAGCCTGTCAGCCCCGTTTAACGCTCCTGATTTCTGCAAGGCAAAGCCAGCCCTGACCCCCTGCCCTGCTGTGCTCCTCCAGCAGCTGGGGAACGCCTGGGCTGAGCCCTGCTCTGCTCATCACATGGGTGATGGGATGCTTCTGCCTCCACCCTTGTTATTCCCCCAGTTCCCGTCTCCGTGGGGCGCTGGAGGCACACGGATCCACACACCTTGCCCACGAAGGTGCTGAGGCACAAAGCCACAGAGCTGATGTTACAGCTCATTTTCCCCCAGCCGGGATAATTTGCACTTGGCAGTGCTTGTCCTGCAAACAGGGGTCAGCGTTATCTGTTCCATCGCTGACCGTGGTGGAGAGCTGGAATTCTCACCGCCTGTGGCCCGTCCTGCTGCAGGATCCAAGGGAGAGGCGGCCAGTGTGAGAAATCAGGAGTTAAAAACCTCTGAGGAACGCCAGCTCTGCCCTCCTTCAGTCCTCCAAGAGAAGCAGAGTGTGCATCATGCTTTCAGGGACCCATAAATAAAAAATGAGCGGTGTCTGTGCCTTCCTACTCGCTTGTTTAGCCTCTAGGACTCTTCCTCACTGTCACATTGTGTTGTGGAGTATGAAAATACATAGCTGGTGGGGAAAAGCTGCCCTAGCAGGGACAGGCAGAGGCACAAGCACTGGCTGAAGGAAGGTCCAGGCCTAAAACCCACTGAATTTTGGACCCAGCTTTGTTCTGCAGAGCTGGCAGAGCTGAGATCGTTCAGCCTGGAGAAGAGAAGGTTTGGAGTGACCTAATTGTGGCCTTTCCAGTGCCTGAAGGAGCTACAGGAAAGATGGAGAGAGACTGTTTACAAAGGCCTGGAGGGACAGGACACAGGGAATGGCTTCAAACTGAGAGTTTAGATTAGATATTAGGGAGAAATTCTTCCCTGTGAGGGTGGGCAGGCCCTGGCACAGGTTACCCAGAGAAGCTGTGGCTGCCCCTGGATCTCTGGAAGCATCCAAGGCCAGGTTGGAGCAACCTAGGCTAGTGGGAGGTGTCCCTGCCCATAGCAAAGGGGTGGAATGAGATGGTTCTTGAGGTCCATCCAAACCCCAACCATCCCATGACCTGTGAGGGATCCCAAAGGATCTCCTGTGAGGAGCCGAGGGGCTCAGAGAAGGGAGCAGCTCTCAGAAC